GCGATGCTCCCGCTGGCCGCCGCACCAGCCATGACTGCCGCCCAGCACGGGGAGACATGTGGCTGGTTCGGCTGCCCAGGGAGCGGCCCAGGAAGCGATGCCCCAGCCGAGACTGGAACAAGTAAGCCGGGGGGGGGGGCGAATCACCTGCCCCGCAGCCACTTCGCAGCGGTGCTCTGCGGACTCAGAGCTCCCTCCCCCCCTGCCACTGACCTTCCATCTCTGGCTCTGCTGCTGCTTGGCCAACGGTTGCGCCGGCTGGACATCGCAGGGGCTGCTCTCTCGGGGCTGCGGCTTACGGGAGGGCTGGCCCACTCAGCAAAGGCTCCGGGGGGGTTGCTCCCAGCGGGGATCCCGGGGCTTCCCCGCATGGCTTCCCAGCCACGTGCGCCTGGGATGGGGCCAGCCCGGGAAAAGGACTTCCTGGCCGCCCTTCTCCCAGGGGGCGGGACACCCGGGCGCAGGGCCAATGAGGAGCCCTGCGAGGGGGCAAGTCCCATGAGAGAGAGAGAGAGAGACAGAAGTGCAAGTGCCTCTGTCTCTGTCTGTCTGTCTGTCTGTCTGTCTGTCTGTCTGTCTGTCTGTCTGTCTCTCTCTCTCTCATGGGACTTGCCGGAGGGCCGTGGGAGGGCCGCATTTACATACCGCAGGGAGGGCTGTTCGAGGGCCGGATTAAACCGGGCCGTGGGCCGCAAATGGCCCGCGGGCCGGACTTTGGACATGCCTGTTTTAAAGGAAAAAGCAAAAAAATGAGAATAGAAGCAACACTCATTCCTTTTTTCCTTATATCTAATGACGGATTTTCTGCTGAAATCTCTTGCACATTTAATGTTCTGTATCACAAATAAGATTCAGGGAAATGTCACATCACCTCCATCAACTGCTGAACCTCTTACAACTGTATCTATCATGGTTGGCTTGACCTTTGATCTCCACAATGGCACAGATCTTCCCAACGATGCACATTTAGGTCTGACCATCAGTGGGACAAAATTGGGTCTCCGAGGTGAGTGACCATCAAATATCTCAAGAATTCTGACTCCTTGCTCACCTTCTCTTGACATTTCCTTCCACTAATTCCATCCACAGGTCCAGATGCCCAGAAATCAATTCATCTCTTAGCTGTTATCACAAATTCATTATCCCGTGAGAATTGTCTTAGGATCACTGCACCTTCATCCCTTCTCCCCAAGACCAGGTGAGCTAACAGGAAGGGGCATTGTTACAAACATTTCTTAACCCATTAATGTAATATTCCATTTCGTTCCCAGAAAGCCACCAAAATGTGTAATAGGGGAACAAAGCATGACTTTGGAAATGCCAGGGATTTGCTATCAATCACGTTATCAAACTAACCCTGCCCTATCCAGCATGCTAGATCAGGTAGGTAGATAGATATGGGCAGTGGTGGTTTGGGCTATATCTGAATGCTAAAACTGGTTTGCTCCACAATATATGGAGGGAAGATGATTCACTATCATTTCTTCTACTCTCAGGCAGACCGTGCCCTTTGCAGCCAGCGCCTCTTCATGACCAGTGCTTTTCTTCTCTGCCTCTGTGCCATGCTCTGTTGTGCAGCTGGCCTATATTATCGCCTCCCCAAAGACAAATGGGGCCAAATCTAAGTGGATCAAGCCAGTGCTATTCATTCTACATTCCAGAATACTCAGGTGTCCTCCTTTCTCTAAACAGCTATATCATGTAAAATTCATTATTTTTGGTTGTTGTACTGCTATTTTGGTTCACAAAAGATATGATAAACAATTTATTAAATAGAAAAATTGAAATTTCTTTGTATTTTAAGTGGCTATTCAACCAATGCAAATTGCCTAATATATTTATTATATATTACGGGACTTAAACTATATATCATTGAATAGTGTAATTAATCTAAATGAATGATCATTATCTAAAAATTCCACTATTAGGAATAATTATCTACATAATACTGGATTTCATGATTAAATAATATAAATAGCATCAAGCAATGTGCAAACAAGAAATTCTCATATTCCCTCAAGGTTTGCTTGTTTTCAGTAACTATAGTTTAACATTAGAAAAAAGCCTCAATTAATTAAAATGGAGTATGGATAGGACTGCAATCTGTACTTTCATTTATTTAAATTGTATTCATTTATTTAAATGAGTATAAAAATGAAAATCAGAGCAATAACTGAAAACTTTAAACTTTTTCAGCATCTTTTTGGAGGTGGAAATTAGTCTGGTAGATTTTCCACAAGGAAGAAACACATGCTATGATACTGCACCAAGAAAGATCTACAGGTAGTCTTTGAGTTAAGTTATGAACATTCATTCAGCAACTGTTCAAAATTACAGCACAGCTGAACAAATGATACTTATGCCTGATCCCCAAAGTTGCAGCCATTGCAGTTGCAGCACCTCTGCAATCACATTATTAAAATTTGGGAGCTTGGTAGCTGATTCACACACAACAGCAGGAGCACTTCAATTCCTCCTTTCCATCTATCAATTTTTCCAGAAAGTACATAGATTTCCAGGTTTAGTGCATCTTCAAAGGATACATAGAACCATCCAGTGTAAATATTTGATATACCTGAATAACCTCTTGTTTTCAATGAAATCAACAGGTGCAGTATTTGTATACTAATTTATATACAGGTAGTCCTCAATTTATGACCATTCATTTAACAACCAAAGTTATGACGGTACTTAAAAGTGACTTGTGACCAGTCTTCGCACTTACAATCATTGCAGCATCCCCAGTCACATGAGTAAAATTGAAGTGCAACTTGCATGTATTTATGGCAGTGTCCAAGGGTCACATGATTGCCATTTGTTACCTTCCCAGGGGTGGCACTTCCGATAAGCAGTCAGTGGGGGAAACCAGATTTGCTTAACTGCAGCAAAAAAATGACATAAAATCAGGTGCAATTCACTTAACAAACACATTATTCAGTAATGGAAATTTCAGTCCCAATTGTCATAAGTCAAGGGCTACCTGTACATGGATCATCTTGTACATCTGGGTAACTCAGTGCAGCTTATACATAATCTTGGCAGAATTAAGAACTTGCAGCAAAAAAACCCCTGGCTACTCATTTTAAATTAATATGTTAAATCTAGCTACAACTGCCCATACTTACTGCTGCCCCATGGCATTGCTGGAGTAACAGCAACAATTGCAATGGCTAGAATACACCTATCTACCCTACAGTATTAACATTGTACCTTAATTTACCACACTGCAGTAATTTGTTTACCATCTCTATGGTACTTTCCTCAGCTGTATGTTTCCAGGCCCCAGTTTTGTCTCATTTGTCCCTTGCTATCTTTCTCAATTATTCTGTCTAGTACTTCAAGCTGCAGCATACTTCCCTAATCGTTTTAAGCAATCTACTGTAATTATTTTACCAAAGCTCTATAATTTGCCCTCCCCAGTGCTGTTTTTTTCAGTTCATGTCTAAACTTGCAGCCACTTTTGACCGACATTCTGGACTCCCTGTTCCTTCGCCTCTTTCCCTCCAAAGGCCACGCGTGCACTCCCTCGACATGCCCCAAGTTCAACCTAACCAAAGAACTCCTTTTTCCTCACGGAAGGCTGGCTGGACGCGAAACCCTCGCAGTAGCCCAGCCAATCCGGGTCAACGACGTCATCGGGATAAACAATCCCAGGTCGGCTGCTGCAGTCCAGCCTTGGCGGAGTTAGCTAGGCCAATTCATGTGATCGGGGACGGGGGTGGGGGGTGGGGGGAAAGGCTGACGCGCTTCTTTCAAAACTGGTGGGTTCCGTCATCTAACCCAATGTACGGTTGTTAGCGTTCTCTACTGCCTTTTCGTGGCTGCTTGGAATTTGATATTTACGCCTCACTAAGAGCGAGCGACCTAACTTCACCTCCCTCGTGTGGACAAGAAAGGAAGAGGCCCGTCCGGCACGGGCCTGAATCACGCCGGTGTCAAGGTGTTAAAACTGCACATGAGGTGAGGGGAATAAGCGCGCTGAGAAGACTAAAAGAAATTGGGACTCCGTGACGGGAGGCTCGAGCTCCGCCCTCCGCCGGAGAGCTCCAGGCGCGCATGCACCCAAGCCCCTGCAGTAACGGTTTAACTGTCGCCCAGCGCGCCCTTTATTTCCCCTCTTTGAACAGCTGTCATTGCCCCCGCCACTTCTCTGCGCGCGCGCGCCAATCTTTCTAAATCTTGCCCCAGTAACAGCTGAGCGATGGAAGCCCCGCCCTTAACTACCTCGGCCTACCAATCAAATCCCACGCCCTCACATATTGCCCCAAAGCACACTTGAGGACATGTGGGCGCCCCAGGCTGACTTCTTTCATTGAAGGGCCGTTATTTTTTTTTCCCCCAGCCAACCAAGATGTCGATCTTGTTTTGCACTTGCCCTTCTTGATGTTTCTCGTCCAATCCCATTCTTAGAGCAAATTTCAAGATCCCACCCCTCGCTTTACATATTGTCAGTGTAAACGTGTCCCGCCCATTAACGCTAAGACAGTCCAATGAAGCCGGGCCTTGTTCCTTCACTCTTTTACTGCGCGTGCGTTGCGTTCCATTCAGTAATGCCTTCCTACAATTGCTCACGGCACACTCCTCGCCCCTCAGTTCGCGCTACTCACCTTTTTCTCAAGAATGACCCGAGCAGGGCGCATACGCACAGTGCCCCACCAAAACGTTTTACGCACCAGGCTGGTTAGGTTCGGGATGATGTTCATTGCTTATTCCCGACTATGGCGCATGCGAGTTTTCACGGGCTCCTGACCCATCGCGCGTGTGCGCTCTTCTTCGGCGACCCCCTTCCTTCCACGCATGCGCTTGACGTTTTTTCTGCCTTGGTTCCGGTCTTGCTCCTGCCTTGGGCGCCATCTTGGATTTGGGGACAACTGGAGTGAGTGAGAGGGAGGTAGCAGACGGAGGAACCCGAAGAGGCAAGAGAGAGGGGAGGGGGGGCCGGATAGAGTCAGGCCCCCCACCCCCACAGCACCCTCCCCTGTAGAGACTCCCTCCCTTTTCCTATTCTTCCACCCTCACCATTCCCTGGATCTGAAAGGATTCCTTTGCCTTTTATAGGGACCACTCCACCCCCGCCCACCTGACCTCTCATTCCTTTTTGTTCCCCCTCCCCCCCCCCCGCCGCCGTTAAAGACGGAAATCTCGATTGCAGGGTCTTGCGATTCTCCTCGCCCGTTATCTGTAGGTCCCTTATACCTCATCTGTAAACATCTGTAGGCAGTCGCTAACAGCTGGAAGGGAGTGCAGCATCCTATGAAGTCCATGCCTTCTTTCCCTCAGAGCCCATCCCTTGGTCTCTTGCAAAGCAAGCTACTTGGCTGATATAGATTGTCTTCTCCCCCCCTTCTCATTTGGGATTTTCTCTCCCTCTCCCTACCCCTGAATAGAGCCATTGCAGACGGGCCCTAGACTCTCGTTATATATCCTTTTACAGGGCTACCTCCATCGCGTTCCCGTTACCAAGCCACTTGCATGTCTTCACTCCTGCAGGACAATTTTTTCCTACCCAAACAAGAGGGAGGGAGGGAGAGGCTTGGAATCGGGCTGTAGATGCCCTATGCTTCCCACCCAGAGGCCTTCCTTTTTCAGGGGAACCACTGACAGTTCCCTCTAAACCCTCTTTCTTGATTGGAGGAGTAGGGAAAGAGGAGGTAGTTGGGGGTACTCTCCCCACCCCCAATAACTTGGAGCTGGAGCCGCAAGGGGAAGAATATCTAGGCAGCTGCGGAGACTTACAGGTGAGACCCAAGCACGCAGATAAGGGGAGGGAGGAAGGGTATTTTTGTGGGATGGGAAAGCAGGGCAATGGGGAGAGAAGGAAATGTTTAGAGAACAAAAGAATTAAGAAAATTAAGAAAAACAATCTGATTTTCTGTCTGTCTGCTCTACTTTCTTCTATAATTGGCCTTCCAAATAAATCAGAAATTGTATTGTCTTGATTGGGAAACATATTCTGTTTCCTCTTCATGTTTTCCCCTGTTTGAGGGCTTTGCTAGGCAAGAGACTGAGTTATGTTTTCCAGAGCTTGGGGTCTGGGCCTAACATCTTCCTGCAAAGGGAAAAAAGGATCAAGTTTTTCTTCCGAGGTCCTCCATGTACACTACAGTTCCTCGCCCTCTCAGTTTTTCTTTCCTTTGGAACCTCAGAATCAGGGAACCTAGGAAATGGTCTTTCTAGTCTGTTAGACTTTTTCCTCCTTAGGCTAGTCAGAGGCCTTAACTCCTATTCTGGTTTTAACATATCAGAGCTATTATACGCCCTTAAATATTCCTATAATGACAGGATTTGGGAAATTAGTATCAGTGAGATATGTAAGAATGGGGGAGAACCCTATTGGGTTCTTTAAATCATTAAATTTTGTTTTTTATGAATGATGGTGATCATATTCTGTTGATTAAAGAAGCTAACTTAATTATGAAGAAAGGTTGGACTTAATATATACATTTATCATTCCCAGTCCCAAATTATTTAGCAGTGCTAGAATAACACAGAAGTGTATTAATAGTAATAGTATAATATTTATAAAAGAAAGCCAGTTCCATGGTCAAAGAAATTCAGCGTCACATTCATTCATATAGTCATTATTCAGATACTTAGCTTTCATTAGTTTTCATTGTAATGTTTAAAAACTGTTTAATGTTTAATTTTGACTTATATGGAAGCATTAGAGCAGGGGCAGGCAACCTTGGCTCTTTTATGACTCGTGGACTTCAACTCCCAGAATTCCTGAGCCAGCATGAAGTCCACGAGTCATAAAAGAGCCAAGGTTGCCTGC